GCAGCAGCAGCTGCTGCTGCTGCTGCACTTGCTGCTGCTGCTGCAGCAGCTTTTGCTGCTAAACCTCTAAGGCTTTTGCGGGGGCCCCACACTCTGGGCCTTCCGAGGCTGAGGTGTACGTACACCTCGGCGCCGTGAGGTGTACGTACACCCCAGAGGTCCCGTTGCTTTTCTTTTTCTTGAATTTACTAATTCAACCAAAACTCTTTTTACCATTTGCTTTTAGCTCCTCAACAACGCAACGCTGCTGCTGCTGCTGCTGCTGCTACAACAGCTCCTGCTGTTGCTGCTACAGCAGCTGCTGCTGTTGTTGCTGCTGCTGCTGCTGCCGTTGCTGCTACAGCTGCTGCTGCTCTTGTTGCTGCTGCTGCTGCTGAGCGGCAGCAGCCTCTGCGCTTGGCTCTCCCCTGCTTTCTGCTGTTCCGCTTCCTGTTCAGCTCCAGCCTGGGCCGCAGCAGCAGCAGCAGCCGCTGCTGCAGCAGCAGCAGCAGCAGCAGCAGGTTTATGCTGCTTACAAGGTGAAGTCGTAAACTTCAGCAAACAAGGCGGGCCCTCCCTCCTCCAGCTTTTGGTCCACTTTGGCAAAGAAGGCAGCGACCCAGTCTCGCCAGCTGTTTGCTGCTGCTGCTGCTGCTGCTGTGTCTGCTGCTGCTGCTGCTGTGTCTGCTGCTGCTGCTGCTGTGTCTGCTGCAGCAGCAGCGGGGGGACTGACAGCTGGCAGCAGCGAAGAGTACACTGAGACGCCGGAAACAGCAGCAGACTGTGCTGCTGCTGCGTAGGCCAAGTGCTGCAGGAAAGTGGAGAACCAGCTGCTGCTGCTGCTGCTGCTGCTGCTGCTGCTGCTGTCGACTGCTGCTGCTGCTGCTGGGTGCTGCGCCGTGTCCACAGCCTCAGCAGCAGCAGGCTCTTCAAGGGGAACAGCGGCCAAAGCTGCTGCTGCGTCTGTTGCTGCTGCTGGCTCAGCTGCTGCTGCTGCTTCCGGGTCTATTGCTGCTGCTGCTGCTGCTGCTGGGTCTGCTTCACAGGGAAGCAGCGAGCCGGGAGTCAGCAGCAGCTGATTCGCCGGCCGCCACCGGCTGCTGCGGCAGCTGCTGCTGCTGCTTCTAGGGCTCGCAGCGGGCTCTGCTGCTGCTGCTGCTGCTGCTGCTGCTGCTGCTGGGTCTTCAGCACTATCGACAGCAGCAAATCCCAAATCTGCTGCATCATTCAGCAGGGGCCCCTGAGCCCCAAGAGAGAGAGCGCGGGCGCTGCAGACTGCAGAAACACGCACCGAGGGTTTAGGGTTTAGGGTTTAGGGTTTGCGGTTTGGGGTTTAGAGTTTACTGTTTCAGCTTGGCGGGAGGTGAGGGAATGATGAGACGCCCCAGTGAGAGGCCAAGACTGCGAACTCTAAGCCCTAAACCCTGAAACCTAAACCCTAAACCCTAAACCCTAAACCCTAAGTCCTGCTTCAGGTTTCAACTTGCATATCTACCCATCGAGGCACTGTGGAGCCCTTGATGTCTGCTGCGTGGCCTACGGTTTAGGGTTTGGCGATAAGCGCCTTAGGCGCGCGGTTTAGGGTTTAGGGTTTAGGGTTTAGGGTTTGAGGACTTCTGTACTTACAGGAGGTCTCATGAGTCAGCAGCCCTACAAGAATGGAGGGGAGTACTAACTGTCGCATCTCTAGGGTTTAGGGTTTAGAGTTTAGGGTTTAGGCCTCTTTAGTTCCTACAAAACGCGAAAAAGATTCAAGCACACGTTTTTCAAGCATGCAGCAGCAGCAGCAGCAGCTGCTGCTGCTGCTGCTGCAGCAGCCCCATGTCTCTGCGAGACAAAGCCTGGCAGCTGCAGCCGCAGCAGCAGCAGCAGCAGCAGCGGCTGCTGCTGCTGCTGCAGTAAATACACAGGAATAAAATTTACTTCTTATTTTCAAAGTCTGACGTATTCATTTTTAGTGTTTAGGGTTCAGGGTTTAGGGTTTAGGGTTTAGGGTTTTCGCTGGAAGGACCGAGAGCCCCCGGGCGATCCCCTAGATGACTGCAGCACGAGTATCACGCTCTCGAGGGTTTAGGGTTTAGGGTTTGGAACTTAGGGTTTAGGGTTTACATTTAGTCCCTAGTCAATCGGCTTCATTGTTTAGGGGCCAGGAACTCGGTTTAGGCCCAGAAAGGCCCTAGGGTTTAGGGTTTAGGATTTAGGGTTTACGGTTTCCAAAATGCCGAAAAAGAAGCCGAAGCGGAAGGTCCCCCAACCAAAAGTCGATTTACAAAAACTCCAAGAAGATGCGAGGCGGCAGCACATCGAAGTAGGACTTTAGGGTTTAGGGTTTAGGGTTTAGGGTTTGTCCATTTGCTGGGGTCACCGCCGGAGAGCTGCGTTGCGCAGGCGGCCCAATCCGCCTGTAGGCGCTAAATCTCCAAGCCCTAAACCCTAAACCCTACCCCCTAAGCCCTAAACCCTAGCCCCTAAACCCTAAACCCTAGCCCTAAGCCCAGCCCCTACACCCTAAACCCTCGGGAATCTGAGGTGTATGTACACCTCAGGGAAGCACAGCCCTCGTGCTGCAGCATGCAGATCGCCATCAGAAGGAGTTGCTGGGGCAGTGGATAGAAGAAGCAACAAAAATTAAAGTGAGAACAAACCCTAAACCCTAAACCCTGATTTGGAGGCCCCCAGCAGCGCCCTCAAGCGGGCAGGGCAACGTAGGGCTTCTCTTTCGAAGCCGCTGGCTGCGCGTCTCACTGGATCTTAGAGTTAAGGGTTTAGGGTTTAGGGTTTAGGGTTTGGGTGAGTGCAGAAGCAAGAAGCTTTGCAGGGTTTGGAACGCGAGATCGGCAAACACGAGGGTTTGGTGGAGAGCACGAACAGCGTGTTGCAAACCCTAAAATGGGGTTTACAGGACGACGACGAGGGTTTGGAGTCCGGTGTACATACACTCGAAACCACTCATTCGCAGCTTTCTTCTCTTCAAGACAAAAGAAGAAAAAACATTTTTTTTTATTTTCAAGAAAGATCTCAAGAAATGAGAAACAAGTTCTTCCAAAGCATTCAACAAATCAAAAACAGCCACTCCGAGTTCATCAGGCAACTCCAAACCCTCACGCAGCTCGTGAGCGTCCAATCAGGGTTTAGGGTTTAGGGTTTAGTGGGTCAACGGGATATGCTTTCGCGGCTTCAGCCCCGCGCTAGGGTCTAGTGCCGAAGGAACCTGGACGTGACGCTTGGGATTACGAATTTAGGGTTTAGGGTTTAGGGTTTAGGGTTTGGGGCTTAAGAACAAGTATTTGGGGTTTAGGGTCCAGGGGCTTTGGGTGCTTCTTTACGCGTCCCTGCTTCTTAACGCTCACGGCCCCCTAGGGTTTAGGGTTTAGGGTTTGACTGAGTCCCAAACCCTAAAC